ACACAAAATAGCTTCCCTTCCTGGACTGTTTTCCTATTTTGTCATAGATCGTGGATTTTCTTTCTTGTCTGTTTTGTTTTTCTCGAGAAGTCAGGATGAAGTCAGGATTATCAGTAGCACATTATCACACCAGTTGGCTTATAATCTTTAACCATGAAGCAGAACGTGCCTGGTCACACAATCACAGTTCCTCCCGCCATGCACGCGGATTGCTCTGCTGCATTCAAACTTACCTCAGTCCTTGGATCATGTCTCGTGCCTTCGTCCGTCTTCTGTGCCGCGTGGTCCTCGTCGGTATGACTTGAGTTTCCCTCCCTCTCCCTCTCGCTCATCCAACTCGAAACGTGATAAAGAGAACCCCCTCTAGTCATCTCTCCACCGCCCCACTCCATACTCTCTTTTCTCCCCACCCTTTCCAGAGCTGTCTTTGAGTCTTTATCTTTAGGATATAACTTAATTGGTTTTACTTGAAGCATTTCCAACAATAATAATTACCCACTGATTAATTACAATTCACTTCAATAAACTGAAAATAAATCAAAAGACAACGTGAAATGTCAGGAGTTGCTTCATCCATTTGGTTCCCAAGCAGCAACCAACAAATCAAAACTCTTTGATTAATTTGATGAAGTTTGCATTTCATGGATGACCAAAAGTGCCAAAATTATGTAGATAATTACACAACAGATTTACAGTTCATGAGTAACTGTCAAAAATTATTTTAAAAATGTGAGCAAAAATGTGCACAAAGTATAGTGCCAGTTTATTTAAAAGCACAATTTGCAATAATTGTGATCTTAACCAAGATTAAGACTATTTAATCTCCATTAATTAATTTTAGCAAAATAAAATTAACTATTTGGTTATTTCAGTAAAATAAGCAAGTAGTGTTAACATTATTCCAGTTAATCTATAAGTAATGCATGGATTTGATGTTTTTTACCCAGTCAGGAGTTAGCGTGGTTAGTGAGCCAGTCTTTGCACTGCAACATAGAAGTTATAAATATTAATGTAGTTATTTTGATTTCTTACTTTTTATTGGGGTTACCCTTAAATTAACAGATCAGGTAAGGGATAAAAACACGGAATATATTTACAGAAATGTATGAAGTAATGTTTTCTGGTCATGACAACAGCCATTTTCTATATCTAGAAAGTAGCTACATGCATCGCTCTGGTGTGAATTGACACATTCTCCCACACAACCTGTAGTAAAAATCTTTAATGTGTTGAGACTCCAGCATTATGCACTCTGTTAATCAGTTCCGTCTGTAGATTCTCAACTCCAAATAAGTCCAGTTATTAATTGTGCCATTTTAGCAGTTTTACTTCTTATTTCTCTCTTATTTCTACAGCACTTTGTATCAGCTGTGGTTGTTTTAAAGTGCTTTATAAATAAAGTTGGTATGGTATGGTATGGTATGGTATGGTATGGTATGGTATGGTATGGTATGGTATGGTATGGTATGGTATGGTATGGTATGGTATGGTATGGTATGGTATGGTATGGTATGGTATGGTATGGTAAATCAATTAATTGTGTTTGGGACAATTGTCTTCCCAAACTTTTTCCATCAGATTTTTATCAAGAATGTTGTGGTATGTTTTTCTAGCTTTCCTTCATTCAAATGGACCTGGCTTGTACTTTAAGCTGTAACACAACCCACACCATGATGGTCCCACCTTCAAACTTCACTTTTGGCATGGAGATTCTGGGATGATGTGTGGATCACTTCTTCTTTCAAACCAGGGGTCAGATGTCGTTCCACTTTGACCTCATCTATATTCTCCCAGCATTTCTCTGGCTCGTCCAAATCTTCTAAGCAAATTTTAATCAAGCTAAAATATGCCTTTTCTATAGAGTCTATAAAACACAGTTTTGAGCAGTGACTATAGACACAACCAATGAAATTCCTCAATCCCCTTTCATGTGACATTTAGCATCTGCTTGAGGATCATAGATGTTGATGAAAACTTCTGTTCATCTTAAATGTGAGTTGTATTTGATATAACTCACATTAAGCAACTTTGGTCTGCAGTGGCATTCTCCAGTATCTATACATCTTAGTAAGCTTTGCAAGAAATATTTCTACTGAAAAACATTCAAATATGAGAGACTCCAAAGTAGCAAACGAGTCAGTAAATAGTTTAACTTTCCTCTCCTTGGGGACACAGACCCTGTACATGAAGGGTTGTGTCGTGACTCACACCAGGCGGTATAAATCACAAATAAACTTAAGAAGTCTGTGTGACACTGTTGCCCGAGGCTTTGGGAGTGATCATCTCTTACTGAACCTGAATAAAAGTGACATGTAAGAGAAGGAAAGACTGTTTGGATGCTGTAGACACTCTGCAGGCCAAAGGGCCATGGCTAAGCTTGGTCTATTCTCATGATGGAGTGTGCGTGGGTTGACTGCAAGGCAAATGACTTAAGCACTATAGGCCTATATAATCATCATCATGATGAATTATTGGTAGTGAACATACTTATTAGCCTTAAAGAAAATTTATGAACTAATGCATTATTCAGCATGTTTGTTATTGTGCAAGTTTACTTTTGAATAGAACAGCGAATTTGATTGTTTCAAAGACATTATTTTTCTTCTTACATTTCTATGACTTTGTACTTTCTCTTATGTCAAGAAACTCACTCAGAAACTGTATTTGTGTTTCTAAATAAACTACATGGTTTGAGACAGTGTATCTACATTAACAAAACCACAAAAGGATTCAAGTGAGATGATTTATTGTGGTTGAAGTGGACCCACACGCAGCAAAGAAGTGTTGTGTAGATGGTGATGTATTTAATGAAAAACGAATTACTAGAACTTCCATACTTCCAGGAGAATACACAAAAAACAGGAACTAAAGAACCAGGAACTCAGAGGAGTGTAAACAGGATTTAATAGAAGGAGCCAGTGAGAAGCGAAAGCAGGAGAATGGGGGGGAGAGAGAAAGAAAATGCCACTGAGGGCAAGGGAGCAGATACAACTAGAATTAAGAGAATCTAACAGAAACAGGACTGATCACCTATCACCTATGTTATATGTTATTCTCTTTGGCCTATACAGTGAAAGAAGATTTCTAGTTTTCCATTTCTATTATAATTTTCAGTTGGATTTTTTAAAAATTATCTAACTTTTGTTCACTGATTATTAAAAAAAAAAAAGGTACAGCAAAAGCTAATTGAAATAAAGTGAGCTGCTTTATTTACTTGCAGTGATTGTGTTTTGCGCCTTGAACAGTTTTAGATTTTGTTTATACGGGTTATACAGTGTGAAAGGGACAATTAGGTTGCAAAGGCTATCATTTTCAAATGTGTCGCATTGATTTAAACTGTCACAAATACCACTTATGATCTTTATTCATAGTTTTTTCTGTTTCCATCTGAAATGTTGGATGTTAACTTTTGGGGAAATTCTTGTCACATGAGTTGATCACAGCTTTGCCTTCTGACAGCCTTTTTGAAAATTGATCAACAAACTCTCTCCAAGTTGAATGATGGACACGAGGCGTTCTTGAGTTTTACTAACATTTAATTGGACACAGATACCAGTGAGAACTGTACAAAACAACATAACATAATCCATTTTCATTCAGTAAGGTATTAGAAAACAATAACACAATATTTTGTTAAAAAAAAATCTTCACGAATCAGTATCTGGACTTTTGCAAAATGTTGACACAAACTATGGTAAAAAGAGAACATGCTAGAGTGTGGCGTGTAACTGAATAAACCGTTCAGACCTGCTTTTCTTTGTAAGGTCTTTCATGAGAAGATACTGGTTTAAACTGTTTTGCAGCAGGCAGTCTGCTCATTATATTGTCTGGAGTTGTATATCTCTGCATCTTCACTTGAGCTTATGATATCTGAATTATCCTGAGATGAAGTTTGCTAGATATTCAATGTCTGGTGAAAATACTGGCAAACTGGGTTTTTAAAGTAGACATTTTAAGTCAACAAAACACAAATAAGTTAATGTGAAAACGAACACTGAACTGTGATCAATTAAATATCAACAATAATAATAATTGCAATATAGTATTTGTGTAAATTAACAATGTTTTAGCCACAAGTTCAAAAGCCTTGCAGACATGAAAACTTGTATGATCAACTTTATTTTTTTACTTTCAAATTCAAATATTCCAAAATGTTCTGAGCTGAGTATTTCCAAAATAGATAATATTTCTCTTTCAGGCCTCACCACTTTTTATTTTATGATATATATTTATATATTTTAGTGACTTTGCAAAAGCCATTTGAGACTCTAGCTGCATTGCTTTTGGCATATTAGATAATATATTTTAGTAGAAGAATTATTCTAATGTTTAGAAATACCTTTTTGATGTGACATATTGGTAATCAGAGTGGTCCCATATTGGTAATCAGAGTGGTTTTGTTTCAATTCTTGATGACAAGTGTGCTCATCAGTGCCGTTGATGTGCCCATGAGTCAACTCCTCCTGCTCCTGGGGGTTTCATGTTGTGTAGGTGACCCCAGACTTGAAATGTGGCATCTCCCACTGTCAACATTAATGAGCAGGCGTCTGTTCAAACCTTTGTCCTCAAGAGACTAAATAAATCTCGTGCTACACTGCCATCTCCTGTCGCAACCAGGCTATTACAGTTTAGTTTTGTAAGCCGTGTTAAGCAGTTCAGAGGTTTGTGGAATGACTTGACTTTTTGCATTAGCAGAAGAATGCCCTGTACGTTCATGCCATTTCTTACCATTTAACTAAAAATGCTAACAACGCTTTAATGAATTAATAATACTTGCTTTACCTTTGTCCCCCACATATGTAAATAACTTTAAAAATAAATGACAAAAAAAGAAAAAAATATATTTATATACATATTCATACACATAAATATATATGTATATTTATGTGTGTGTATATAATAAAAAAAAGAAAGTTAACACAAAAATCTGGAATAATAAATTCGATGCTACGTTATCCAGGTTCAATAAAGTTTCCGAAAGGAAAAAAAAGGGCTGGCGATTGTGGCTAGGCTAGCTAATCATGTTTCCACAGGCAACTATGCTAACACACGGGTTTACCCCATATAGACACAAACAAGTCGTATCACGCATTTTCCAGTGAACGTGACTTGAGGTAAGGAAAACCAGCAGTGCTTACATATTTTTGCAAAAACGTCCTTTGTTTTGGAATGCTTAACTTCCGCCCTAGCTAGTTGTTTTTAGCCCACATTAGCGTAGCTCAGTGGTATCAATTTCTTGAACAAAAAAAGAAAATGTTGTTGCACAAATATCTATATCAAAAGTATTTTATTGCTGAAAAAGTTACTGAAGAGGTGATGGTTGCAGTGTACTTTTTTGTTGACATAATATGCAGGCAGGTAAATTCTCCATTTATATGATTCTGAAAGGATTTGCAGAAATACAATTCCTTTTTAATCCTGTAGAAATATATTGTTCCAGACTGAAATCAACCGACTTCCCCAGCCTCCCATTGAATTTTTTTGTAATTCCATAGTGCTTTCAAGAATAGTTGGACACTAGTTATGTACATTTAAGCATCAAAATGATTGATATATGTAAACTGAAAAATCTGGTTAAACTCTCATGTATTAAGTGTTTTTGACTTCTGATTTATCACTGACCAGTGATCACAATTTTGTGATTTTAATTGTGATTTATCAGTTTTCTTCATTATGCTAAACACTAAACATTGTATCTTTGTTGATGTGTTCCAAGCTTGAGGTAGATGGCTTTCTTGCCATCACTCTATTCTTCTTTAGCTCTTTCGACAGGGTCCCTATCAGATTCAAGTACTGGGCCACTCCAAAAGGGGTAATACTACTTTCAGCTTAAACAAACATGTTAGTAAGACATAAAAAGATTGCCTTAAACCTAAATAGACTTAAGGTATAAGTAGTCAGAGTCCAACTGTATAAATTAAAGCTCTGAAACTTAAGACATGTTGGTGCGCAGTGACAGATTCCACCATAGTCAGATGTACAAATCCAATATAGAAGCTATGTTTTAATTTTGACCATAACTATTTAAAATAAAAAAATGTCATGCTTACGACAGGTTACCTTTGTGCTCACTAACATAAGGTAGTTTGCCATTGTAAATACTGTCAATATGTCGAAGTCAGTTGTTCTAGATAAGGGACGTACACTTTCTGATAAATTGCGACCGCCGATTGGTCACTTGCTGACAAATACCCTAGAATGATTGGGGGAGGATTGCTCACGTCTGCATGGGGGAGGAGTCAGCATCATGTCAATTGTTTCTTGGAAGTGATAATAAGCATAGACAAAGTTCAAATCCTGTTGGAGGATGTTTTTGTTGTTGTTGTTGTTGTTTTTGTTTTTTAACTCAGTATTTCATGATTTATTTAGATTTTTTGTCTTTAGATGAAAATACTGCAACACAATTTACATTACATTTAAGTAATGTTAAATAAGATGAAAAATAAATAAATCTAATATTCTCTGGGGGTGCTATGACTTTTACTGGTGGAGCTATAGCACCCTCTAGTGCCCCCCTTGCGACACCACTGCTTAGGTTTCTTTTTGTTAAACACCCTAGATAAGGTGCCACCCATATAACATTTTAGTTACCCCTTTTGTTATACCAGATTTTCACTTAGAATGGCTGATAGTTAGAACCTGTTTTGTTTTATGTATTCTTTTTATTTGGCACAACCTAACTGCCCCTTTCTCCTCCACAGTTTATGCAAACTTTTTAGATTTTTTTGTTAAGAAAATAAACCCTATATTTATTCATTTACAGAGACTGTCAATTATATTAAACATTTTATTTATTTTCACAGAGGCGCCCGATGAACCATTCCACCCCCTTAATTCTGAAGATGGAGAACCATGTTCACTGTATCTCCTGTGTTAACCAGAGATGCATGGTACAGTCTGAACCAGGAGTTTCTTGTGAGATTATCACATGTCCTTTGATGTGTGGGGCCATGTTTCATTCCTGCAAAGGTGATGAACACCAACTTTTGTGCCCACTTATGAAGGTTCCATGTCTTAATAGCAACTATGGCTGCCCAGCCATTCTGATCCGTAACAAAATCTCTGCACACATGGATGTTTGTCCGGCTGGGGTTGTCTCCTGCCCAGAGAGATGGAACTTGCACCCAACACAAATCTTGGATTTTAAATCTGGTAGGAAATTGGGAAGTATCTTGGATGAGATAAGGAACCATAAAGACCTTGCACTTGCTCTGGAGGACCATCAGGCACTCCTTGAGACCATAGAGGAGATGGGGATGAAAAACTTAATTCACAAAGATTTTGTTATTGAAGAAGCAATGCTGTTAGCTTTAGCATTGCCTGCTTCTGAGGCATCAACCGTGTCTTCCTCACTTCAATTGCAGTCTGCTCCAAAAGGATCCACAACAGAGGAAGTTGTTAGTGGAATGAAAGGTTTTAACAAAAGAGATATAAAGGAGAACTGTTCCAGTCTGAGCTGTTTGGATGAAAGTGGTGCTCCTGAAAATATTGGACTATTAAGTAAAAATGCAACCAATGGATCATTGATGGAAAAAGAACCTGTGACCCTTAAAATAATATCACACACTTATCCCCCCATATGCGGTCAGTCATTTCGCCGTGACCAATATTCTTCCCATTATCTAAATATCCACTGTGACTTTCACCCCAACTTTCGTGACCGCATAGAGTCCCACTGTCCTCTGGCATTGTATGGTTGTAGGTTTTCCCAGCAGAGGTTGTGGCCATCTACCCACAGGACCAGGGTGATTTACCATAAGCACCTTAAGTCATTTGTAATCATGCCTCCTATCAATGCGGAACCTGCAAAGGACTCCCAGTCAGACCGGTTTAGTGCGCTCCCCATTGAGATACTGTGGCACATAGCTAGATTCCTGGACAGTTTTAGCCTCTGCCAGCTGTCCTTGGTGTCGAGGACTATGAGGGAAGTGTGTGCCAGTCTCCTCCCTTCAAGGGGGATAGTGGAGCTGCAGTGGGAGCAAGGATATTTCCCTGGTCATCCTCACACTTTAAGATGGCGGGTCAAAAGTAAAGTGAGTAAAAAAAAAAAACTTGTGTGTCTGTGTGTTTTAAAAAATCCCTGTTATGTAACATGCACCATGGATTTAATTGTGGATGTAACTTTAACAGCTGCAAATTAGTTTTTTTATTTTTATGTATTAGTAAACTCACTTATCTTTTACTGTTGCAGGTGTGGAAATTCAGCCCTGCCTTCAGTCCTGTGTACTCGTGGCATTTTGTTGATGTTCCCAGCATGTCGGATCACATGAAGAAGTGTCCTTTTTTCAACAGAGCTGAGCTGAAGACTGAGCCAGTACCCCTTACCGCCATGTGCACAGAACAAGACAGACTCTCAATCCTGCATTGTTATCAAACCCTGCGTAGCCTCATTGCTTGATCAAGCAAAGCTCATCTTTATGAGATTCACTGTGAAATTATGGGAATGTTGCTAATAAAAATGTCCTTTCTTGCACTAAATCAAAATGTAACTTTTATTAATCAGAAACCTTCACGCTAAAATGATGTACTAGTCAGGTTTGTATCAGAAGAGAGGAGTAGACATCTTGGTTTGTGCTACAAATGTAAGTTTTGCATGAATGCCAGCCTGGGAAAGCCCTTCCAACCCCACACTAATTTCTCATGGATTTTTCATGTAATGGCCATAGCCTTGATATGTAACTACACTTTTTAAGTGCCCATATTTTTGAAAAGACAGTCTGGGTTTAAAGATAATCACTTAATCTATTAATTGTCCCTAATTCAGTGGACTTGCAGTGACAGTTTCTTCAAGTCATTGTGGCTTTAAAAAAATGCATGCTACAGAGGTTCAGGTCTCATATATCACATCTGAGTATCTCTCGTCTGCTTTTTCTGGTGTTCTTCAGAGATCCATTTTGGGTGCCGTTTTTTTTATCTTCATCCCACCCTTATGGCATCAATTTCAGAATATATTAACAATTTTGATTTCTAAGTTGATGTTACTCAGATGTTCAGCTGAAGCGCTCCCATTTCTTACAGTATGAATGGACTCATACATTGAAAAAATTTGGGATAGCATTCGATTCAAATTTAAGTGTACAACACTTTTTAAAATCTTCATGTGATCCATGCTTTCACCACCACACATCAACTGGTTTGTCACTGCATGTTGTTGCCTTTCACAAATGCAACTAATCATCTTCTGACACAAATCATAAACATTAATCTTTGTTTTTTTTTCCTCTTCTCTGGGTTACTGTTTATTAACTTAGAACATTTCCTCTTTGATTTTCTAATGATCCGATCTACAGCACTAGACTAAAGCAATTCTGCTGTATAAACTAGTGTTGTTTCTTTCAGCAGTACTGAAACGTGTTTTCCTTTTTCTCCCACTCGATTATATTGCAACCGCATAAACTTCACATTTTGTTAAATAAAGTTTTGAAGAGGGTTGGAGAAAAAAAACCCGGTCGAGACAATGACTGAGAGTGGCTAGCTATCTTTAGCAGTTTCTTCCCAGTGGCAACTCCAGTTAATAGACGGGTTTAGACGCATTAATGTGGAAACAGTCAAAGACGTCATAACACGCCTTTTCCTCTCAATACGACACACAAGGTGAGAAACATCTGGAACCTCGAAACATATTATTTTATGAAAAGTTGTTTTTGTTGTGAACTGCTAAACTTCCGTCCGAGCTAGCTGTTTTTAGCCAACATTAGCAACACTCAGTCCGAGCTGTAGCTAGCCTTCTATTGGTATCTTTAGTAGTTGGTATTGTGGAGAAATGACAGACGACAACATGAGAGGTTTTTATCAGGTTGATGGGTAAAAATATGTAGATTACCGAAACAAAATGTTGCTGTAAACTTTGCTACAGAGCTGTTAGTTGTTACTGAACTTTTCCTGTTGACATGAAGAATCTCCAATCTGTTATTGTCTCAGTTGTTATAAGTAAATTCGCTTTATTTTCTTGATAGCCATCCTAAGACAAGCTAAGATACGATTTTTGATTACTATTTGAGTACTTTATTTCTAAACGCTTTATTTCAACGTATGGAAATACATTGGAATGTCCTGAAGAAATATACAACCTTTTAGTTTTCTTTAGGTAGCTGAGTAGTGATTGCTTCACATTTAACACTTTTCATATTTTTTAATGAAAATCAACGCATTTATAACATCACTCTGTGATCACAAGTTGTTTTTCAAGCCCTTACTAACTTTGCTACTTAAAAGTTTTTAGTTGTTGTCATGTTAGATTTGTAGAAAATCAATTTGCAGCTTTAAAGTAAAGCAATGTGCAACAGCAGATCTATGTCCAAACTGCAGTTTTAGGACAACTTGCAGATTGGAAGGAAGGCTCCAATATGGAGCAATCCAATATCAGTTATTTTGGTCAAAATAGAAATTGCAATGCTATGAATCTTTGAGAAAGGAATTTTCTTTTTTGTTTGTCTTTTGGTCAGTAGCATAGTTTTTTTAATTGGATTCAAAATTAAAACGCAATTTTGATTAACTGCACAGCACTGCCTTTAAATTTCAAAGGACTTCCTTAATTTAGATCTTTTTGAAGTTTTGTCTACTTTTAGCTGAAAGTATTTTTTGTTTTGCGTATGCAATTGGTTGCTTGGCTTAGCTTGGGTTGAACATGATAAAAAAAATTATAATTTCATGTAAACTGACTGAAACTCTTGAAAAGGGATTTAAACCCCTTTAGTTGTAGAGCCTGAGGTGCAGAGGCATTCTTCTTTCTTAATTTGTGTTGCTTGTTTATGTTTTCAATCTTGCACATAAAATAAATGCTAATGTTGACTTTCAAATGCCTCTTAACAAAATCACCTAAAAAATTCTCACCAAAATTCCCATTGCATAGATGAAGTTCCTGAAACCTAAACATCATTGATCTCTTGCAACAGTGATTTGAAACAATGAGGCATTGATCAGTAAAGTCAGCAGCAGGGACATCTGCTGGTTGGTATTGTAATAGCAGTCTTTTAAGTCTGAAACAAATCACTAAAACGCAGTTTGTCTACTTAATACCAGTACATTTAAAACAACATAAATATTATAGAAATATCATGTTTTTGGTACTTCATTTCAACAATTGAAACTCACATATTAATTACAGGTATAATTACATATTTTAACCCTTTATTTCTAGCCATTTTTATGATTGACATGTGAATGAAAATCCAAAATTTGGTTTTTCAGTTACTTAGAATATTACAGAAGAGCAATCAAAAATAAACCAAATTGTCACCCTTTTGAAAATATAGTTTATTTGCATACACTCAATACTTGATTGGGCTTCCTTTTACTTGACTTTTTGCATCAAAGGAGGCGATCAGGCTGTGGCTTTGTTCAGCTGTAACAAAATCCCTGTAGCTGGTGCTACACTTTTTCCTTCCATTGCAATTTCTATGAATAGGCTTGGATGTAGCATTCTGCAAAACAACCAACTTTGTTAGCAATGGCCTATTGAGGACTACTCTCCTTGTAGAGTATGTAAATGACATCTACCAAGTCAAAATGGATTGAGTTAATCATTTTACACAGATATGCTTTTTTTGTAATTTGTAATACTCTAACTTTCAGAGATGCTATATTTTGGGTTTTCATTTACAGTAAGCTACGATATAATCATAAAAATTATACAGACCTATATATGATTAATATATGTATAAGAGTGTGTAATGACTATAATTATGTAAATAATCATTATATACTGCATATGTATTTTGATATGTATATAGAGTCAGTACAATATTTTCTAATAGCAACTGAATAGTGTTTGTCATTACCTATATATTTTAGCATTTCTGTGTTTGTGTATCTTTAAAACACACTGATATAATGTAAATACATAATTTAATTTGTGCCTAACTTTTATCTCTCTTAATATTCTGCAGAGGCGCCCATATCAACCACTCCACCATCTCAGTGGCTCTTGAAATGGAGCACCACCATGTTCACTGTATCTCCTGTGTTAACCAAAGATGCATGGTCAAACATGAACCAGGAGTTTCTTGTGATTTAATCGCATGTCCATTGGTGTGTGGGGCTGTGTTTCACTCCTGCAAAGTTGATGAGCACCAACTTTTGTGCCCACTTATGAGGATTCCGTGCCTTAATAGCGGCTATGGCTGCCCAGCCATGCTGATCCGTAACCAGATGTCTGCACACTTGGATGTTTGTCCAGCTGGAGCGGTCTCCTGCACAATGGAGTGGAACAGGTGGCCTGTTAGCTGCTTAAACTACACCTCTTATGAGAGCCTAATTAGTCTGTTGGAAGAGATGGAGCAGCTAGACATGGCGCTTGCACTTCAGGACCAACAAACACTCCTTGATTCGATGAAGATGATTGCCAAGACTCCATCTCAACAAGAAGATCCAGTCACTAGAAAGGAGATTAAAGCGAAACATTTAGCTTCACACTCGTCTGCTCCTGAAATCTCAACCTCGCAATTATCCTCCTCGCATCAATCCCAGTCAGTTCCCAAAGCTTCAGCAAAGGAGAAAATTCTCAGTGGAATTAATGGCTTGAAAGAAGAACACCTCAGCAAGCTCTATGAGGCCACCGTTGAGACTGCAAGAAGCTTAGCTGCTGCTCTAGACTTTGTTAGCACTGCCAGCTGTGGTGAAAGTAACTCAGTAGGTGAGAATGTAGGAGATGTCTTGTTACAAAGCAGTTTGGACAGTAATAGAAGCATTCAGAATGGACTGGAAGACATAAATTGGAGCAGTTCTTGTGCGAGTCACTTAGATGAAAATGCAGCTTTTGAAGGAATCAGTATGCAGAACAAAATCACAGCCAATGGACCATTGGCGGAAGTAACAAATGATGATACTTTGCAAGAACCTGCAACCTCACAAATGATATCCCCAGTGCATGTGAGCCACGGCGTGGCACAGTGGGCTGACCATGTAGTTCTGGACAATAAAGGGCTAGTTCTTTCAGGAAATCTTGGACCTGAGAGGATGCTGCCCCTGAACCTCTTCTACAAGGGCCAGGTCCAATATCCTTTAACTAATGGACAATTAGGTGCTAAACCAGACAAGTCACCATATAGGCTGCGGGTAGAAATGGAAGACAAAGCAGTTGATACTTCAGATTTGGAGCACGATGATGATCCTATGGGTCTTGGGGAGATTGATGCAATCCCACCAGCTCTACTCTTCTGTTTGGAAGAGTCCAGGGAGTGCAGAAGGATCTCTGATACGGTCTACATTGATGGTTACCGTGTTGACCTGGGCACGCAGACTTTCACATTTCCTGCGGCAGTCTTGGTGACTAATACAAGAGTCGGTGACATGGCCTCTGTTTCAGCCTGTGATCATGCAGCACCACAGCTCGCCTACCCCAGCCCTCTTCGCACCCTTCGCCTTGGCCAGGTCCTCGAAGCTCTGGATTCGGCGACGGTCCCATATAATCGTTACCTCCCCCCTAACCCCCAACACCAGCACACCTTTCCTTTCTTATGTGGTCAGTCATTCAGGCGGGACCAGTTTTCGTCGCATTTCAGAAACATCCACGGGGAGATTCACGCTTGGCTCAGTGGCTGGATAGAGCAACGGTGCCCTCTTGCATATTATGGCTGTACATTTTCCCAGCGGAGATTTTATCCATCTACCCGAGGAGCAAAGGTGGTTCACGATAGGCATCTTAAGGCATTTGGGGTTCAGCCCTGCACCAGACTGCAACCTCCAACAGACTCCCAGTCAGACCGGTTTAGTGGGCTCCCTATTGAGATACTGTGGCACATAGCTGGATTCCTGGATAGTTTTAGCCTGTGCCAGCTGTCCCTGGTGTCAAGGACTATGAGGGAAGTGTGTGCCAGTCTCCTCCAAACCAGGGGCATTGTAGAGCTGCAGTGGGAGCGAACAGATTGTTCTAGTGGGCTCCGTAATGTGTCGTGGCAGGTCAAAAATAAGGTGAGTTCAGAACCGATATATCAGTTTTCAATGAGTGTGAGTACTTTTGCAAAACAAAAACAAAATCTTTTTATGATCATTCAAATATATTTTAATGTTACAGGTGTGGAGATTCAGCACTGCTTTCACTCCTGTATCCTCATGGGGTTTTACTGAGGTCCCCAGCATGTCGGTTCACCTTAAGAAGTGTCCTTTCAATGTAGTAGAGCAGAAGACAGAACCAATACCTCTTCCTGCCATGTGTACCACACGAGATGGACTGTCACTCCGCCGCGTCCTACGTCATGTCAACACTTGACCAAATAAGGCTGAGCTGCAAGAGATTCACTAGCTTTATGTGAATGTGGCTAATGAAGTAAAATGAATTCTGATTAGTTTTGATTATAAACAAACCTGAAAGGAAAACATTTTTTTCAGATTTGTTAATGGTTTGTATGTGGAATGAAAAAGTGAGCATTCTCAATTGTTTTGCATGGATTTGTGCTGAAAGTGCACCTTTATTCTGCTAAGAAAACATATTTTGACAAAGATAATTGTGCACAACAGATTTATATTCTCCTGAAGATTAAATATTATTCTGCCTTTTATTTTTAGCCATGGAAAATAATATAATAAAACTCCATTATTTCTGAATATTATAAACAATGCCAGCACTTTATATTTTAATTCCTTCCAAATTGAGCAGTGAACCTTGTCTGAAGAGCTTCTGATCGCTACTAAAGATCAAGTTGCATGTCATGTTTAGGTTTATCTGAAGTTTGGATCACAGTTTGATATCACAGAATGACTAATGTACCTGATTGCTGCAGTTTAATAAAGTGTTTACTGACTTTTTATTTTTCTCTAAGGTGTCTTTCAATAGTTCATTTCTATATTTATGTAAGATGTTTGGATAGAAAGCAAATGTTGCCAAATCCAGGAAAATTAATCCAAATTTAGCTGAATGCTATTACAATAACATATTGTAATACATACTCAGTTTAACTGTTTCATTGTGTAACAACTATTTCAAGGGCAAAATAAACTGCCAAACCCCATCAGTAGAAAGAGAGGTTAAAGTGACAACTATTACAAATTTCACTTTATGCGATTCTAGTCGCCCATTCACGATTAAAACGTGAATGGGCGACTGGAATCCGGCCCTTATAAAATCTGACTTCACTATTACTTAAACCTATATTCAGGCTTTTACATGGATAAGCAAAATATCACATTTTTGTAAAAGTGAATTTTTCTGGATTTTTTTGTGCCAACTTAAAATTGATTCATGTGAAGCTTGTATAAATGGGTCAAACATGGACTGAATTATTTATCAAGTTTGCTATTGAGTTTTTACATTGTCAAAGAAAAATACAAGGCTGCATTTATATCTATAAAGATTACACCCATGGTGCTATTCATTCAAGGACTCCTTTATTGTTTTTGCCTTTTAGACTTTTTAGTGTCCAAATTAAATTGTACATATGTAGATTAGAGTTTATTATACTGAGGGCAGAATAATTTACCAGCACTCATTAACAAGGATTATATTGAAACTGAATTTGTATTTTTGGCCATTCCATTATCCCACTCCAACTTTTACTTTGCATAGCTTTCTTAGAAACAAACATTTAGTATAAGAACTGGGAGCCAATTAAAGTATTAAAATGTTTCACCTAATTAGCATTGAAGGTGTATTTGAGCTTGCAATGACCAGTGACAATTAGTCACTGCAGTGTTGTGACATGGTGTGTACTGAAAATGATCACAGGAATCAAAGAGTGATCCCTGCAGATTATAAAGACAAGCATGTTAAAGGTAAAGGCTATTAGACCATCTTCAGCTTGTTGCCCATATTCAAAAGGTCCATGGCAATGTAGCCAACCTTCCTGGGATAATACCAATAGTAACCAAAAATTCAGAACCTCTAAAGAAATTAAAGGTGAAATCCAAGGTCAAAGTACAGAGTCAGGTCACATTAGTCACCATTTCAGCCAAAGTGGACATTATAGGAGACTAAAAAAAGACCAAAATGCATATTCTTAGATTACAAAGCTTCTAGGAGAATGCCTTTCAGACAGATGAGGTTTTTGGCAAGTTGCATCAGTTCTGTGTTCAGACACGAAATGAAGCATACAAAAACAGTCAATACTGTGATACATGGGAGAGGGTCTGTTATGTTCCAAGGCTGTTGTGTCATAGCTAGGACAGGGCACCTTTAATCTTTGGAAGGCATGACAAAGTCTCAAGACTAAGCATTCTGGAGCTAAAGTGTCAATTTGTGTGTACACAGATTGTGGCTGTACCCAATTAAGTGGCAATGTTTTCCAAAATAAAAGCCCAGTTTTTACACAGGCCCTTTCACATTTAGTTGTAATGTACAAATTATTAAGTGACTCAAGTTATTCACCTCATTTTAAGACTTCACTGCTTTTCACCTTTGCTAGAAATTTAATCAATTCACTGTTTTGTCTGAACAGCTGTTTGACACCCTATCATGTCATTAAACTACACACAGTGAAGATACATTTCTATAAGCATTGTGGAACCCTGTGTCCAGGGGAAATGAACATTCAAGATTAAACGCAGAGCCTTTCTCACATTGCTTTATTCGTTTCAAACATGATGAAAACAATCCCTAAATGGTCACACTGTTTTCTACCACATCAGGGGTCAGATATGTGTAGGGGATTTCCAGCTGAGAATTTCTTGCTGCAATTTCTTCCCTCATGTAGTACAAGTTTGCTTGCAAGGCCTTGATAATCTTCTTCGGGACAGCCTCGTCAAAGTGCTCCTCTGGAAATTCACCCAGGAGAACCTGCATGTACAAGACATTTGAGAGGCCAGTTCAGAAATGTGAGATTTGAAAACCGAATTTTTAAATCCATCCCGATTTTTCTTACCACATCATTGTGCTTTTCTGAAAGAATCCTAACAGTTGACGACATGTTGACCGAGTAGTCAACATTTGGGAGAGTCTCCAGAAAAGTCTGCATGCTGGACTGCCCCTTGGTGGCTGGAGGAGGTTTGTGCAACAGGAGGGAGCCATTGGGTACCCAGCAGTTGTAGTCATACTAGAATAAAATATAAAAATGAAGAAAATCTCAGGCATGTTAGAATCTTATTCAAACATCAATTCAGAAAGTGAAAGATTCCAATTTTAGAGCTTTCAGTTAACTTTTCAAAAATGTTGGATCCCACAACCACCTCTCACCTCCATTGTGTAAGGTGAGCAGTCTGTGGCTCTGCTGAGGTATTTCACCGATTTAATTTAATCACATTTAAACATCAAGTCCATTAAAATTGTGTTAAAATTTAGTGTAGAAAATTGCTGACATTTGCCCACCTGTCCGTTGTTCACAGCAGAATGCTGTACAGACACTGTGAAGATCACCATGGTGATGAACTTGGACACTTCCTCAATTTCATTGAAGCATGATGGGAAACCTGTTGCAGAGTCACTGTTCATTATTCTGCAGCAGCAATTTAACAGAAAACAGATCTTTACCTGAATGTTCATTCGCCAAGAAGCCATATATGAATATCTCATTGATCCATTCCTGTAGCTCAATATCTTTAATCACATCACTGTCAGAAGAGTAGTAGTACTTCACCATAGCCTTCACAAAACTAGCAACAAAAAAAAAAATAAAAAAAATTGCATTTTGAAAAAAGTGCATTCAACTATAAGCTGCCAAGTTCAATTACTCTTTGATGTAGTTCCACATCTTCAATGCATCGTCTCTGTAGTAAAAGTTTGGGATTGACTCCAGTCCTCTTTCATTGATGTTTTCAGGCAGACAGAGGGAGCTGTAGGTGATTTGAGACATATCTCGTCTCATGAGCTCAGTCAGCCCCTCCTCTCCAAGTGAGCTCTGTTGAAGAAAATGCCTTAAAACCAGGAGTTTCATGAAAGGCTTCAGTAAGATTTTCCAGCCGTACCTCATGCAACACTCCCTCAGGTGAAAGTAGTAGTTTGCGGACCAAGATGTTTATGTGTAGCGTGTAACGAAAGTGCGGGATCAGCAGCTGTATAGACAAGACAAACCCAAGATTAAATTGAAGGTCCAGTAGCTTACAGAAAATATCGCTTGCGCAAGCTTTATAATGTCAGCTAATACCTTATAAAGGGGATGAATGGTTGGGAGACAGCGAAAAGTAGCAACAGCAAAGACTTCTGCTAGATAGTGAGTGTGCATGAGGTGATAGAGCGTCTGATGTTGAAGCAAGTCTGAACTCCTGAAAAACAGCTTGGCCAGAAGCCAATCCGTGTCAAGGTCACTTGGCAGAAAGATTGGGTTCTGCTCAGAGGGTTGTTGGTACAGCTGCAGTAGAAAAATACTAGTCAAATTGAGTTGTGATTTTGTCACTTTTGTATCATTAGGTCCCATTTTCATATTCACATGCCAAGTGACCCACATGGTTTATCAATGGAACATGGACATGTTTAAGTGTTTCTCCTTTCTGTAAATTACCTGTATGGCAATAGGCAACAGTTTTCCTTCAGGGTTCTTGTAAAACAAGCACAAACCAGCTGCAACATACAGAGGATTTCCATCTTTCTCTCTGGTTGGTATTCCATCCATTATCTTCTGGTCACATAGAAATATATTGCCTTCCTGTGTGGCGGAAACAAGTTCGATTCAGTACATTTGTCCTTTTGTCATGTTACAACAATCAGTCTATTCTGAGAATAGAAACTCGGTAGTAGAACTGAGATTTTAAATATTGTTCTTTAAAGACAAAACTGAGTGCATCAGTCCCCTTTCAAAAGTCAGATCTAAAGTTGTGGAAAAGTACAAGTACATTTCTAGCTGAGCACCTGAACTAGTCTTAAAAAAAATAAATAAATCCTTCAACACCTCCATTAAGCATTGTTTCATATTTGTCACATGAAATCCAGAATATCACCTTCATTTCCTTTTTCAGAGTGGTTCCAGTTTCCAGAAAAGGTTTCACCATCTCATCAGTCACTGGAAAGTTTGGGGGAAGTTTGGAGCAGCGCTTTATCACATTGGGGTTTGTTCCATTCAAAAACTGGGATCCAAAAAAATCATCTTCCTTCCAGTGCTCTGAAACATACTCTGCAATAATAAGTTAAAAAAAAAAAAACAGAATTCTGATTTTCTGAAACACACTGCTGGGGAAAAAAAAAAAAAAAAAAAAAATCCAAGTAAATATTTATAGCAAGAAGGCTTCAACCACCTGACATCTTTGTCTTTTTTAACCGGAAGATCGCTTTCATGTCTTCAATTCGTTTCCATTGACCAGTCTCAGACAGTATCTCCATTGCTAGTCCAAGAGAGCTGAAGCATAGAGTACAAAGCAAAAATCAGCGAACACATACCAACTTTAAGGTATTAGGAGCACGAATAAGGGGTAACCTGGAATAATTTACTCACACTTCACGTGCATTTTCCAGTTCAGACATGGAGAACCGAAGTTCTGCAACAAGCTCAAATATATCTTTGAAGTGACTGATGTGCATCAACCCATCATCAATTAACGCCCATCTAAAAACAAAAGTTACAGTTTATATTTGCTCAGATGCAATTCCAGATTAACTTGACTGGAAACTTACTGGTAAGTACCCTTATTAAATGCCAGTTCTTTTTTTCTGTGCTTAAGCAGCAGAGGATGTTCTTCTTGCATAAATGTTAATCCTTAGACACACACAAACAAAAAAAATATACCATGAAGATAAATATACCCAATAATTGGCCTTGTAAAACCTGCAGGGGGTCAGCATTAGTAATATTGTGCTTTAAAAATCAGACCTTTTCCTCCTCTGAGCTCCACAAATTCCCCCCTGGAAATCCATCTATAACAAGGGAAAAGGATTTCTTCACCCTCTGGAGTCGTCACTTCTATTTTGGAGCAGTACCACTCGTCTTCTGGGAAGAGTAGAAAGGGATCCTTCTCAACCTTGATGAGCAGAAGCGTCCCCAGAGATGATATGGTTTTGACTTTGTAGGTACCAGTCTGAAAGTTACCAAATAAAATATCATCAACATGCCATCCTACATATCCATATCAGCGTGATTAATGTTTGACAAGCACATCCATGTTTGTTATGACTAAAGGCATACAGTTTTATGTTGCATGCAAACCTTTTATTTATGTTTTTATAATGTTTAAGTATACAGCAGCTTGCCTTTACAGCTCTAAAGTCAATCCCAAAATTGTCCAACTCTGTGCGGTCACTCCACCCTTCTGTCCCAATCAAGATGACGTAGATGTGATCTATAGTGCCTCCAAGCCTCATGGCACCAGTTGTCACCTTGAGCTTGTATTCAGCCATAGCCTGAATACACACTGCAACAGGAGAAAAAAAACAAAAAACAAAAGTTCACTTTAAATTCTCAACATAAGACTGAGATGAACAGTTAAGTTTAACTTAATTTGCCTTACCGGTGAAGGGTTAACCAACGAACAACGTTACCAGACAGCTAGAACAAACTTTGAGGAGTGAAAGAAGCCAAACAGCTGAACAGAAGCAGGTGGAGGTGGTGCACATTAAAAAGAAGAAAATGGCAATTATGAAAGCTGAAACAGGTGTTCTGTTAATTAGTGACAATCAGCAGGTTAATTAAGAGGGTAAGGCAGAGTGAAGTGTGAAAGCACTTTGCTCAGAAAACGTAAATGTGACATGAGAGCTGCAAAAACTTAAATGAAAATGTCTTTTAAACATTTTTTATACAGAAATTAAATTTACCATCAAACTGGAATTAGCAAATACTTTATTTCCACAGGAAAATAATGTGCTCTAAGATTATCTGATTTTATTTGAAGAAAATAGATGGGTAAAATAAAGCCTCTCCATTGCTACCATGGTGATAGAGAAACCATTATTTACTAAATTGCCAGCTTGTGTCAATATGTAACTTCTTATCTTGAAATGTTTAGTACTAGCCTGAATGTTTTATTCCAGTATTGCTAGACAATTCTATAAATAAAAGGTTAAAGTCTGCATCTATTCACTAGTTAGCCAAATACAAAGTGATTAAAATTCTGCATCACATAGACCCAAATAATTTGAATATGCTGACTTGGGAAAAAATGCACTGAAACGGTTGTTTTGATCACTTTATTTTTCAAATTGATTTATTATATTCAACAGTTTAGAAATAGGCTATTTAAATCATGATCCCCCAAACAAAACACAAATTTCAGAATATCTGCTCCCTCATCCAAATTTTCTAGAATTCACCCTTGATATATAAATGTAACAATTTATCTAGGAAGCTTGAAAGTAGAAGAAACAATTAGCAGAGAAGTTAAAGCTACAACATCAATTTGTATTTTTACTAAATTTGTTGTGCAGAAGCCTGGTTTCACTCAGAGCATGGGCACTTGAAGCAAACTTGGTAGTCCTTGCAGAAGTCCGATATTTGGTCTTTGTGTTTCTTCGGTAAATAAACCCCTTAGAGGGGATGTAGCTGAAACATAACAGAAGAGATGGATAGTTGGCATTAAGATGAAACTTCTAATATTTTTGTCTTTTGAGTTGCCATTATATTTCCAAGATTACATCACATGCCTACTTATCACATTCTGCATCTGGTTTTGCAAAAAAAAAAAAAGCTTTTCAGAATCCTGGGGAACAGACCGGACGGCCCATCCTTGTCCACCTGATGATGCTTGCTTTGCTCTAGCCATCAAAGCTGTCACCAATGCTCCCTTACCACAATGTTTTCAACCTCTTGTTACTTAAAAATGGGCTAATGTGCAGCCTTTCAATTACAAACATACCTTTTTTTTTTTTTTGAAGGGACGAGAAGGATTAAAAGTCACCTATTTTGATATTTTCAACAAGAAAATCAGTGAGGAGCTTTGAGATTTTAGAGAAGATTAGCAAAATTCCATCTTCAGCACATTGTAACTTTTTGCTATTTATTGATTCCAACAGTGTGGAGGTAACGCCACACTTAATGGAGGTCTTCATTACTGTTACTTTGTTCTCCTGAAATATTTTTCTTACAAACTTTTTATAGATATTTTTTATATAGATATTTCTTTAATTTCTGCTATCTTAACCCAGTCGTTTTTGTTAGTGAATTATCATCGATCTTCTTTTTGAGTTGCGTTGGATCTCACCTCAAAAGCTAGTTTTGTTTCACTAAAGTCTTTTGCCTAAGTCTTCCTGTTTTCTGTGTGCATTTCAACCCTTTTTTTGTTTCTTCCATGGCTGGTCCCAATGTATTGAACTTTAGATTAGGGCTGGTGAAGTTGTCACCTATTTGGAAAAAGAAAAATCTATAATGAGAGTTTAGATTTTCAACATTTTATTGCATTTTTTGTTGATTGAGTACTCTTACAAATAGACAAAGTTGTACAGATATCATAATCAGAAGTAAAAACAAAGTCTTCAGTTTTTTTCAACCCAGTTATTCTGCCTTTGGTAGATGGAGCCAAAGCCTGAATTTGCTCCCAGGATTACACAATTTCAAAGCAAAATGGAGAACATTTGCCGTTAAGAAATTAAAAACAAATATAATTTAAAAAATCCAATCACTAGAAAAATAAATGACACAATTTATGCAATTATCTGGAAGAGCTGTAAAACTTTCAGGAGAAGTCAGCTAAAAAAAAATAGAAGTATCTGCTAGCCTTGTTTCTTAAATGGTCACACTGTTCTCTATAACAGCAGGGTTCAGATATGGGTAGGGTATTTTAAGCTGAGAATTTCTTGCTGTAATTTCTTCACTCAAGTAAGATAACTCAGCTTGAAATTCCTTAGTCATCTGCTTCAGGGCAGGCTCATCAAAATGTTCCTCAGGGTATGTACCCAAGGGAACCTGCAGTCAGAAAAAAGCCATTAAGTAAGGCTCATGCACCAGTTCATTTGGAGAACAGTTTCAGAATTATAATGATTCTAGTCTGAACAGACATAAAACTCACCACATCAGTGTACTTGTCTGAGAGAATCCAAAGAGTTGACACAATCTTTACTGTGTCTCCAATATTTGGGAGAACCTCCAGAAGCGTCTGCATGCTGGACTGCCCCTTAGTGGTGGGAGGAGGTTTACATAACAAGAGGGAGCCATTGGGAATCCAAGAGTTGTAGTCAAACTAGAAGAAAAAGTTTTACTGTTTTATTAGTTCTTCATTACTTACAACACAAATGAAATGATAGAAGTTGCAAATGGTTCATTTTTGTTTTAGTATGGATATTTTACTATTATTTTACAATCACAAGGTCATTTTATTTCCCAGACATTTCAGTTGTATAGATCTTGTTTGCCCACCTGTCCATCATGAAGAGCAGCATGTTGTGCTGACACTCTGAAGATCACCATGGTGATGAACTTGATCACTTCAGCCACAGTGTTAAAGGACGACGGACAACCTATTGCATAATTTGTACAGTTTTCACTCCAACTAAATTAACAATGAAAACAACATGTTACAGACAGTATTTGGCAAAAGGAAGATTTTTCTTGTACCTCATCACATTGAAAAATGTTGCTACTTTAAGGAAATATAAATCAAGATCAATATTATAGGTTCGTCTGGCACTCACCTGACAGTTTGTTTTTCAGGAAGCCATGTGTGAATATCTCATTGATCCATTCTTGCAGCTCAGAGTCTTTGCACACATTGCTGTCAGAGTTATAGTAATATTCCACCACAGACTTCACAAAACTAGTAAAAAGTAGAAAAAAGTACAAATTCATCTTTTCTTTAGTATATTTCTGGGAATAAAACACCCTGCAGAAGTATTCACATGCATAATTTTATCACATAACAACAACCATCTGCATTGCATTCTATTGAAATTTTATTTTGACCCAATTGTGAAAATAAAAGAAGTTCATAAAATATGGAAAGTATTTATATTCAGGCCCTTTCGCCCTTATTTTGACAACCCAAAATAAAGTGCAGCTCAACCAAGTATTGTTACAAGTCAGCTACTATATTTAGTATACAAAAATAAAAATGTCCACTCTTCAAGAATAAAATTTGAGCATAGATGCAGCACTATTATCAGGAAATGTCAGCAAATAAACACCATGAAATGATCCCAGCTACAGGTTTCCACAAAATGTGTAGGGGACACCACAGGAAAAAAAAAATGTGTACAGCATGTTTCTCACATTAACATGTGGTGGTGGCAGCATTATCCTGTGGGATAGTTTTTACTAAGCAGGTACAGGAAAGCTTTTCATAGTTAATTGGTTGATAGATTAACTCTGGTTGTTCAATCTAGAAATGAACCTGACAAAGAAGTGGCATCTAGAGGAAGGCGCTCTGACTGGATGAGATCAAATCAGAGTACAGGAAACTAATAATTCATAATAAAGTTTGCCACTGCAACCTTATAAAATATGTACAATTTCAGGGTGTACAAACATGCTTGAAATGTTCTGTGTAATACCCCATTCTTATATTTTTCTGAATGAATCACTTTTACATTATAGACAAAATATGTTTTTGCTTAAAATGTACAACAGCTTAACAAATCATTACCTGCTGACATAATTCCAGATCTTCAAAGCATCGTCTCTGTAGTAGAAGTTGGGAATCGTCTCCAGTCCTCGAGCAGCGATATTCTCCGGCAGACAGAGGGAGCTGTAGGTCATCTGAGACAGCGCTCTTCTCATGAGCTCTGTCACCCCCTCCACTCCAAGAGAGCTCTATTAACCACAAAATCTGCCATAATTAAATTATTCTAAATCACTTTAATCATGCAAGTCTTCAACAACAAAACATGTCTTCTCATTGCCAAAATAGGAGTGTGGTGTTAGAATTGCACGTTACACTGCAGTACCTCACTTAAAGCTCCACCAGGACCAAGGAGAGTTTTACGGCTCACTATGTTTATGTGTAGAGTGTGGCGGAAGTGTGGGATCAGCAGCTGTGTAAATAAAGCCAAAATGTATTTTTTTAAAATTAAGTCAAACTAAAAACATTGCTCTGTCAGCTGTATTATGTCAGTTGATACCTTATAAAGGGGATGAATAGTTGGGAAGCAGCGGAGAGTAGCAACAGCAAAGACTTCTGCCAGATAGTGAACGCTCATGAGATGATGGACGGTCTGGTATTCAATCTGCTCTGAACTCCTAAAAAACAGCTTGGCCAGAAGCCAATCTGTTTCCAGGTCACTTGGTAGAAAGACGGGGTTCTGCTCAGAGGGTTGTTGATGCAACTGAAATGAAAGATTTTATGGAGGCTTTTATAAGTAGATTATTGTCTGATGTTGATGTCATTCAGGAACACATCTGAATTGATTGGTTGTTGCTAAGATGAGTCCCGTAATGCTGGTTTCCCATCACTGTAACTTTTGTTCCTTAATGCCACACAGTTTAGTTACCAAAAAATTAGATAATGATCATAATGAGAAATTCCAATGAGCTAAAACTGCATTCTGTTCACAATCTCATTACAGAGCTGGCTTTCCCATCAGGCCATTACCTGTATCGCAATTGGAATCAGTTTTCTCTCAGGGTTCATGTAGAATAAACACAAACCGGCTGTCGCATTCATAGGATTTCCA